TCCTTCGCTCCACCTTTTCATGTTTCCTTCCATCCAACCATATTCCTGCCTTCCTTCCTTCTTTCCTTCCTTCCTTCCTTCCTTGAGCCATGGTGGCACAGTGGTTAGAATGCGGTACTGCAGTCTCTTTCTGCTTCCTGCCGGCTGCCTGCAATTGGGCAGTTTGAATCTCACCAGGCTCACGGTTTAGTCAGCCCCCCGTCATTCCCAGGTGGGTCAAATGAGGACCCAGATTGTTGGGGGCAAGAGGCCGACTCTGTAATCCACTTAGAGAGGGATGGAAAGCACTGGGAAGTGGTGTATAAGTCTAAGTGCTATTGCCAGAGGCTGATATTTCTTCTCTGGGCACAACGAGAATTTATCTCCTGAACAAAACTCTGCACTGGCAACAGGAAAGGCATCCAGCCAGTAAACACTCAGCTCCATTCAGTCGCCCCGATTCCACCCCGCAAGAGATTATGGGGTCATTAAACAAACGAACAAAAAAAAACCCCTTCAGTTTTCTGTCTTTGTGCTACCCCTTGTCTAGTCTGCACACACGAGGGGTGTGTTTGAAGCAGGACAGCCTCACCTCAAACCTTTCAATGGGATCCTCCTGCTGAGCCTGTTGCTCCCGCATCGTGTGATATTCTCTCTCGTATTTCTTCAGCTTCTTTTGGCTAATCTTAAAAAACAAAACAAAAAAACAAAACCATATTAGAGCTCCATCAACAGAATAGAATAGAATTCTTCATCGGCCAAGCGTGGTTGGATACACAAGGAATTTGCCTCCGACAGATAAACTCTCCGTGTACATCCAAGTAACAAGTGATAAATCATGATCGTAATCATACAATCATCAAAAAAAATCATCAAGATAGAACTCTCAGGGATTAAATACTAGGATGCTAAATAAGCAGTTACTCCAATTCAATCATGAGCCTTGAGCCACACTCCCAAAGCTGAAGAGGGTTTATTTGAAGATGACATTCTACGTCCGGCACTAACCTGGGCGTGGCCAACTCTAGAGATACGTAATTCACTGTCACCCTTGATCCTGCTTTTTCACCCCACCACCCCTCTGGGTGTATCATCCAATGAAAAAAACCTCCATAGCCAAGAGTCATCAATCATGCTCTCCAATAAGATTTTTTCACCGGCAGAAGCTTCAACCGGCTAATCAGTCTTTAAAGAAAATATGAATGGAATGTCCTTTCGATTCCACACTGCCGCCTGCGCTTTGAAACGCTCCCCCTTCTTTCTGTTGTCAACTATAAAACGTGTATACAAAATGTTTTTATGAGTTGACACAATCAACATGAATCATAAGAAGGACACTAAATAGAAGCAACCAACATAAATCTTAAGATTCAAACCAAGTGATAGTCATGAGAAGCTAAGGAAGTAAATAACAGGAAAGATGAGAGTAACACAGCCCTACTAGGTGGTTTGATATCTCAGGGCATAAGACAATGTTGTGGGAATTTGTTGTTTAGCAGGTATGGGACGGGGGCGGGCGGGAGAACCGTCCTTCTGTCTAGTTGTTTAGGCATGCAATGCCCCATAGCATCATCTTGAGAGACGAAGTTTCTGTCCAGGATGTGAGGTGTGTGTAGATATTTACTCAGCCCTCTTTCTGGCTTGCGCAGTATACAGGCCCTCAATGGAAGGCAGGCTGGTTGCAAATGTTTTGGGTTTTTTTCCTGCAGTCCTAACAGACAAATGACAGACTCAATCGTTCCTCCGTAGAACCGAACCAGCAACTCCTTGGGTAGTCCTGAGCTTTCTGAGTCAGAGCAGGAAGGACATTCTTTGTTGGGCTTTTTTGACGACGTTTTTGATTGGGCGTCCATTTTAAGTCTCGAGATAGGATAGAACCCAGAAACGTGAAGGTCTCTACTATGGATACTGCCTTGTTTAGCATTGTAATAGGTGGTAGAATAGGAAGGCTTCTCCTAAAATCTTTTTGCTTGCTGACATTGCTGAAGGTTTGAAACTAAGGAGAACCAGGGACCCACTTGGCTGCAAAGATGTCAAAGCTGGGTGAGAAAAAGGGTTGTGCAAATTTTGTTAAGCTTGTCCTGGTGCTCCCTCTAGTGACCCCGAGGCAGAAGAGCTACCCAGGAGCGTGTGTGTGTGTGTGTGTGTGTGTGTGTGTGTGTGTGAGCGCACGCACGCACAAAGGGAAAGAGGAGGAAGAGACAAATTCCTTCTTTTGTTCTTCCAGTGTAAGGCAGCCCAAAAGGACCAATCGGATAGACAGAGCAGAGTTATTCAACGGTGGGAACTTTAAGCCCGGAGGACTTCAACTCCCAGAATTCCCCAGACGTTGTCTTAAAAGTTGCCAAGCTTGAGAGGCATCAAGGGAGAGTCTCAAAGGAAAAGCAGGCAGCTCCCCCGGAGAGAAATTAAGATCTCATTAGGTGCTTTCATCAAAAAGAACACTACATCAGAGTGAAACAGAAGATAGGTGGCAGGAAGGGAGGGAGGAAGGAAGAAAGGAAGAAGGAAAGGAGAGAGAGAGAGGAAGGAAGGAAGGAAGGAAGGAAGGAAGGAAGGAAGGAAGGAAGG